ACTCAATGTCCTCAAGAGTCCAGACCTTCAAGATAGACCTTTATGTTATTATTTTGCTACTACATGTCTTCTGCTCATTTAACTCATCCAGAGGTTTCAGGAAGGGAGTGGAATTGATCTCCCCAAAAGACCCTCCTTTTGGCAATAATCTCCACTTGATTCTGTTCAGTTAAGCCTTTACGCTGATGCAAACAGGAGCTCTAAATGCTTTTTCACCACGATACCAATAGAATCCAAAATACTCCATCGAAGAAACATATACTGCTTCTCTGACTCGATAACTATGGGCATACCACTTGTCTGTTTCTTCAATATTTTTTGAAATTTAACCTCTGAGGCTGGCGCTGCAGCTCACTAAGCTAATCCTCTGCCTGTGGTGTCGGCACTCTGGGTTCTAGTCCCAGTTGGGGCACCGGGTTCTGTCCCGGTTGCTCCTCTTCCAGATCAGCTCTCTGCTGTGGCCTGGGAGGGCAGTGGAGGATGGCCCAAGTACCTGGGCCCTGCACCTGCATGGGAGACCAGGAGAAGCACCTGGCTCCTGGCTTCGGATCAGCACAGCGCACAGACCATAGCGGCCATTTGGGGGGTGAACCAACGGAAAAAGGAAAAGCAAATCAAACGGAAAAAGGAAGAAGACCTTTCTCTCTGTCTCTCCACTGTCTAACTCTGCCTGTCAAAAAGAAAGAAAGAAAGGAAGGAAGGAAGGAAGGAAGGAAGGAAGGAACTTAACATCTTCATAGTTATTTTACCTATATCTTCTGGAATTCAGCCATACATGAATTGTATCATCATAAATTAAGAGGTTTGAGTTGAAAGGCTACAAAAGTTAAGTTCTAATACTTACATTAGTTCAAGACACAGTCTCGCTACTTAGAACGAATATCACAGATGCCTGAAAAATACAACCTGGAACCCATCCTGCATCCTCTGTCTTGCACGGTGCTGGTCATTCAGTAGGTTCTCTATAAATACTTCCTTACCAATTGCATTGAGCATTTACCATAAGCAAGCCTAGGCTGCTTAATGCCAAGGGAGCCCAGATTATAAATGGCCTTGCCTAAATGTATAGGAAATCCCAGTTCAGCCACTGACTTTTACACCTTCAGTTAATGTGTACCTCAACTTTCTCAGGACACTCACCCCATATGGATTTACCATCTATTCCCATCGTCGTGTATACCAGGACATACCTTTTTGCCTTGACTAAAGCCAGTTCAGAAAAGTTAAGACTGAAGTGACAATCCTGGGGAAACTGGGCAGAAGAACCTACATACGCTGGTGCAATGAGCTACCCAGACAGGACTCAGTGTAACTCCGTACTGTCCCTCCTCCCACGCAGCTCAGGAAAACATCTGTGAGCCGTTCCTGAGCTTAGCCAAATGACCTGGCATCTGCTAGTCCTGGCCACCATGCAGGGGTCTGAGAGTTGCTGCCTTCCTCTCCAAAGGTAGGAAGAGAGACTCGGACCCTGAGACTCATCCCAGGATCTCTCAACGCAGATATTTCCAGCATTCTATCCTGACTTGTAAAACCATCTTTTGTTTTGGTAAAACAATCTTTTTTTTTTTTTTTTTTTTTTTTTTTTTTTGACAGGCATAGTGGACAGTGAGAGAGAAACAGAGAGAAAGGTCTTCCTTTTGCCGTTGGTTCACCCTCCAATGGCCGCCGCAGCCAGCGCGCTGCGGCCGGCATACCGCGCTGATCCGATGGCAGGAGCCAAGTACTTCTCCTGGTCTCCCATGGGGTGCAGGGCCCAAGCACTTGGGCCATCCTCCACTGCACTCCCTGGCCACAGCAGAGAGCTGGCCTGGAAGAGGGGCAACCAGGACAGAATCCAGCACCCCGACCGGGACTAGAACCCGGGGTGCCGGCGCCGCAAGGCGGAGGATTAGCCTAGTGAGCTACAGCGCCGGCCTGGTAAAACAATCTTATAACATAAAGATAATGTCAGTGACTCATGTGCTGGTCAAGTATGTTTATTTTTCTATAAACAGAAAGATAGGGATATATTTAGCAGCAAGAAGGGAACATGTTTCATATTTTGATGATTTTTTTTCCAAAAAGTAAAAATACTTCTGTTTTTAAAAGTAATTTTAAAATAACAGATTAATTTTATCTAAGGAATGTCAGAGAAATCCTTTGACAAGGAAATTAAGTTTATTTTTGAGCATTCAAGGGGTTGAATTTAATTATGGGTGGCAGTAAAGAAAAAATCCTTGTAAGTTTTCTAAACAAGAACTATGGTAAGATTTTATAAAAGGAAAACATATTCAATAAATTATATATACTTTTTAATATTTATTTATTTGAAAGAGTTACACAGAGAGAGGAGAGGCAGAGAGAGAGTTCTTCCATCTGATGGTTCACTCCACAACTGACCGCAATGGCCAGAGCTGCTCTGATCCGAAGCCAGGAGCCAGGCACTTCTTCTGGGTCTCCCACATGGGTGCAGGGGCCCAAGGATTTGGGCCATCTTCTACTGCTTTCCCAGGCTATAGCAGAGAGCTAGATTGGAAGTGGAATAGCTGGGACTTGAACCAGCACCCATATGGGCTGCTGGCACTTCAGGCCAGTGCGTTAACCCGTTGTGCCACAGTGCCATCCCCAACAAATTATATTTTTAAAACAATGGAGTGGAGCAGGTGTTTGCTGCAGTGGTTAAGATACCACTTGGGATATCAGTGCTTGGTTTTGAGTCCCAGCTCCACTTCCTGCTAAGGTGCACCCTGGGAGGCAGCAGATGATGGCGCAAGTACCTGGGTCCCTGCCAAACACATGGGAGACCAATACTGAGCCTCTGACTCCTGACTCCTAGTCCTGCCTGTTGTAGGGATTTGGGGAGTGAATAAGCAGATGGAAGATCTTCCTCTGTCTCTCTGTCTTTCAAATAAAAGGAAAATGAATAAATTAAAAACAGAGAATAAAGAACAAGGGAAAGAGGAGGAAAATATCCTTTTAGTAGTGATACAGAATAACCCCTAAAACTGGCTGAAGAGTTGTTATGGAACCCCCCAAAACTGGGTCCATTCACCTTATGCACAGATAGCCAATCACTGACTTTGGTGGTAGGAAAACAGAGGTGTCAAATACAAAGCGCAGAGCCAGGAGCCAGGCAGCTGTCAGTTCCGGGGCTCCCTGGGGGTTAGGGGCTTGGGTTTCTTACAGATTGACCTTGGGGCTCAGAGGTGCATGTGCAGCTCATATCCAGGGTCCTGGTTGGTCTGCAATGCTCGTGACCCTACTTCAGTTGGTCAACAATACCATGTCTTTTAGGGAGATTTTATGATGGCAAAGTGGGCTTCAGTCTGTCTAGGAGCTACCTGCTGGCGGTAGTTACTTTTTACTCTGGGTCTGGAGTTCCTGGCAGAGAAATCCTTCAAGACAAGAGTGACCATTAAGACGTTATCCGTTGGAGAAAGAAATGATCTCAGGACTCTTGGTGATTAGAACCGGTGATTTGGGAGTTTATAGGGCCGTAGGCTACCTCGCTCCCTTGATTCTTTGAGTTGATTTTAAAAACAACACAGGGAAACTTTGAGCTAAGGGAAGAGGCTGGGGGATGGAGACCCCGTGGTCTAGCATCTGCATGCCAGGCATCGTAGAGGAGCTGGGTTTCAGTAGTGATGGCATCACAGAACCTAGGAAGGCTTTTCTGACCTTCCCCTGAAGCGCGTCTTAAGATCCTCAAGTGAGAGGCGCACTCCCTATACCCACAGAAAGGGAATATCCTTGTCGCTGAAGACACAGGGACATGGAAAGGAAACCAAACAAAAAGACCCAGCTAAATCCCACTCTCCCCGCACACAGCCCCGTGTGTCACCATTTGATCACTCTGTTTCCAGAACTATTCACATCTTCAGCAACCCTGGCGTAAAAATACACAGGTTTAGTGGTGTCTTTGGGTCTTCATTTCTTCAGGAAGGCTCCTCTGTCATGTGAAACTTCAATACGTTCTGTGTACTTCTCTCTTGTTAGTCTGTCTTTTGTGATAGGGACCTCAGCCATGAACCGAGACTGGATGAAGAGAAGAGATTTTTCCTTCCTTCCAGTGGAAGTCTTTGAATCTACCCAGAAACTCTTTGATCTGAAAGTTCAGAAGTTCACAAAAAATGAAGTAATTTAAGAAAACAAATGTGGTTTTGGTGGTTGCATCGAGGAAACCTATCTGCTGTAGACCATGAGGAAGACGTGTGGCTCCCAGGGAGAATCAGTAGCATTGAGCTGTGATCATTTTTGCTATCTACAAATGACTTCAGATGGGACTTTTCAAAGCCGAGTCAAAATATGCACAGTAGGATTTGAATTATTTTTGTAATAGTAATATTAACATTTAAATTGTGAGTTTCACCAGGGAAGCTGTCTCTGTCTGAATTTCAGCTTTCTAAAAGGATTAGAGATTTTGATTCTGCATGCAGGACATCAAGCCTGTGTTGATTATGAATTAACAAAGCAACAGTTAAAGAAAATATACATATAGAAAACATAAAAGTACATAGCAGCCAAGTTAACAAGCATACATTATGTATCTTTCACTAGCTAGTGTATTATTGTTGGAGCTTAAGAAATACTTATGGGGCAGACATTTGAGGTAGCAGTTAAGCTGCCATTGGAGGTGCCCATATTCTGTTAGCAGGGTGCCTGGGTTTGAGTCCTGGCTCCACATCCCAATCCAGCTCCCTGCTAATTCATTTCCTAGGAGGAAGCAGGTGATGGTTAAAGTATTTGGGCCCTGCCACCCACGTGGAGAACCCAGGTTGAGTTCAGGGCTCCTGACTTCAGCCTGACCCAGCTTGGCTCTTGCTGGCATTTGGGGAATGAACCAGCAGGTGGGAGATCTCTCTCTCTCTCCCTCATTCTCTTTCTGCCTTTCACACAAAAATGGGAAAAAAGGAGAAATATTAGCTATTATAAAACAAGGCTTATCAATGGGCTTGGAGTAATTCTATCACACTAATCAGAGGATGACCGAGGGTGCTTCATTTGAGTCTTTTATTTCCTAGGTATTATTACTTGGCATTCAGAGCACATCAGACGCCTCCTCCCAGCAAAGAGAGCTGCGTTGCTATCTTGGAAAAGTCCAGATTGGAACACTGGGTTCTGGGAAAAACAAAGGTACCACTTTCTTTATTGTTGAGAGGGTCACCTGTAGTGCTTTACTGTTTGCCTTTGTCCCTTGCGACATAAATAGCTCTGTGAACTGTGTAGCTGAGCAGGCCAGGCCCCACCTAATAGTGACTTTGCTGGTCTTGAGTCAGGAGCCCAGAGACATTTGGGATCAGACGAAGCAGTTTTGTTCACTGTGCTGTATGTTAAACCAAGGACCATTTAGCGTTTCTAGAATGAGGTCTTTGAGCTGACTTTAGCAGGTCCCCTCTGTCAGCACTGTTATGCTAGTACCACATATAAATACACAAATCCTGTCAATGACAGTGATGGACCTGTTTAGACTTTTGTCTGTGTTTCCTTTAGACACATCTTGCATTTATTTATTGCATTCCCTGATTATTAGTTTTGTCACGTGTAGCTTTTCATTTGGGAGAACATCATGTCCCTGCTGAAGTAGATTGAGTGTCTGGCCTATTTGTAATGCTCAAACCAATGTCTTGTTTCAGGTTTTTCTCAAATATTACCATGTTGAGCAATTAAATTTGCTACTGCAAGAAGTCCTGGGCAGAGTGGTTGTGCTGCAGGCATATACCAAGGGCTGGCTCGCGGCCAGGAGATACAAGCGAGTCCGAGAGAAGAGAGAGAAGGGGGCCACGGCCATCCAGTCAGGTGAATCCTTCTGAGAAACAGTGCCCTGAGCCTGGCATTGCATTTAGTGCTGGGGCTGTCACCTGTCACTCTCTGTGGTTGTTCCCCTTTCTTCCTCCTTTCTTTCTTTCCTCCTTGTTTCAGCAAACAGTTATCAAGTGGCAGTGGCAGGGCGAGTGCTGGGGATGCAAGTAGCCATGAGAAGCCTGTCTTGGTCTCCAACCAGGCAGAGAGGCAGACCAGTCACCCAACAGCCATCACCCACTGTGATGGGTGGGAAGATACAAGCAGGAAGAGTGGGCCCGTGATGGCAACCCCCACCCCTGCAGCCATGGGCCCCGACTCCTTAAATGACGAATACGGTACGCTTCCAGCCTGTGACCAGGTTTCCCATCGTACAGTGACTAATGCCATTTCCAGAAGGCTTCTCCATCCGACACGGAACTGGTGAGCCTAGGGGGAGAGTCGCCCGGGGGAGCTGTCCCGCGCCTGGCCCGGTCAGTGCCTCTCGGATGCCATGCCTGTGTCACCTTTGCCACACACAGCACTGGTGCCCCTGCGCTTTGACCCAGCCGTTGTGAAAGCACCAGATCTCCAACAGAGTGGACGATTTCCTTTGTGCCCTCCTAACCTGGAGTCACAATGCGCCTCAGTCCTTCTGGGACGTCACGAGCAACCCCAGCTGCGCTTCCGCATTCTGATGCTCAGGCTGAGGTGGGGGAGCCAAGCCCCTCCTGCTCCCAGGGCTAGGAGGTGGCTTCGTGCTCAGCTCCTTATCTAAAGGACTTAACCTGCCCGGTCAGTTGGTTTCTTTCTTCTCTCCTCTTTGTCTTCTGTGCCTTCTCCCTTCCCTTCGGAAATTTCCCCCTCCCTTAGCATAGGAGCGAAGTCCAGAAAGTTTACGGAGGGGAGGGTATCTGGTATAGTGGTTGAGATTCTGTTTGGGATGCCCACGTCTGATACTGGAGTGCCTAATTCAAGTCCCAACTCTCCTTCTGATTCCAGCTTTCTGCTAATGCTCACTGTGGGAGGCAGCCGGTGGTGGTTCAAGTACTTGGGTCCCTGTTACCTGCATGGGAGACCCAGGAGATTCCAGGTTTCGGCCTAGAATGGCTTTCGCAGTTGTGGGCGTCTGGGGAGTGAACCAGTAGGTGGGAGATCTGTCTCTGTCTCCCTGCCTTGCAAATAAATGAAAAATAAATACAATTTTAAAAAATTATTTGAAATTCAAGAAGTTCGTGGGGATTGAATTAAAAGTACGAGTTTATTTTGGTACAATTTATTTTTCATAATAGGTAGAAAATGGCTATTATAAACTGCATGGATTGCAGAATTTTTTTTGCATCAAAATAAACTCACAAGATAGGCAACGTGGGGCAGTCGGCTAGGCTGCCACTTGGGGCAACTGCATCCTATATCTGAGTGCTGGTTGGAGTCCCTGTTTCTCCGCTTCCAATCCAGCTTCCTGCTAATGTACTTAGGAGGGCAACAAAGGATAGTCCCTGTTCCTCATGTTGGAGAGACAGGAGTTCCTGGCTCCTGGCTTTGGCCTGACCCAGCCCTGGCTGTTGAGGGCATTTGGAGAGTGAACCAGCAGATAGAAGATTTCTCCCTCCCTCCATCCCTCCCTCTCTCTCTCTGTTGTTCTTTCAAATTAATTAATTGATTACAAATAGACTCTGCCTTTTACTTCCGTTGTCCCTGAACTTGTTGAAGGACCCTCATCATCCTGCTTTAGAGTTCACCCCCACAGGGCTAGTGCTGTGCTTCTTAGTTTCCTCCTGCACTCCCCCTCTTACTCTTTTCTCTCTTCCAACTTTCATGTCTATAGATTTTTTCCCAAATAAGAATTACTGAAAGAGGCCATTCCCGGGCTTTCCCACATCCGCCCAGGCAAGCCCTCCTAACCCACACCATATCCCTTAGAATGCCAGGGAGCTACTTCACCCAGGGCTGGGAGTACCATGTGATCCGCAAGTGGAAGCCAGGGTGTTCTGGAAAAACAACTCAGAGGCATGTTACAGAGCACGCCATGAGTACAGACAGTCCCCTCTCCTCCTCCGTAGCACACGTATCTCTGCTTATTTTGCTCAGCGAGAAAGCCGGAGGGAGGCGGCGAGGGGTAATAGATTGGAGGGGAAAACAGCTTATATCAATTCCCTGGCACGTTCCTAAATTAGTGTCATTCCCAGCACATGGTTTTATATTTTTAGCCTGGAGAGGATATGATGCTCGGAGGAAATTTAAGAAAATAAGCAACAGAAGGAGGGAGTCTGCTGTTCATATTCAAGCAGGTAATTAAAACATCATTTCTACAGTGTCCACTTGAAATGTTCTGTGATTAAGTTCTAGTGAGCTTAGCAAAGAGGGAAGGTTAATAATTCTGGAGCACGAGGCTGGGTCGAGGGTTCTAGCGGGGGTCCTCACTCTGGTTCTGACATGCCCCCCCACCCCCGTGTGATCGTGATGAGGCTGACAGTCACATGTGTTGTCCTACGTGGCTAAGGGTGCTCTGAGCAGGCACTTGTACAGTCCTGATTCCTAGAAGGGAAACCGAGGCATGGAGAAGTGAAATAAGGCTTCCAGGGTCTCACAGCTTGTGGGTGGCAGAGTTAGCATTTGGACGCAGGCAGTTCCGTGGGGTCCACTTTTCCTGCTGTCAGCTGAGCGCATCTCTTTCCCCTTAGAATCACTTCCTCCTCTGTGAAATGAGGACACTGGATCAAAGTGTCTGGAAGTAGCTTTCAGCCTTGGAATTCTCTGATTATATGCAAGACCTGTCTCTCAGTAACACAGGGGAATAACTCAGGGTCCCCCCACCCCCCAGCCACTTGAGTTTCCCAAAGCCAGGCCTATGTGTGGCTAGCCTGGGTCCTGTGGGCCCCACAGAGCGAGCACACAGAGGCGCTGGGGACTCAGCTTGCCCTTGGCAGCCTGAAGGCCGCAAGCTCCGGTTACTGGCTCATCCGTCCATTGCCCGGCTCTCGGCTCTCGGGTCACTCTGCTCTTCTGCAAATGTGACTTCCACCGCGGCTGCCAGCCCCCGCGCCCTCCCTCATTTGAAGCTGCGTGGTCCTAATTGAGGATCTGGAAGGAACAGGCCCCTTGAGCATGCCAGGAGCTCTCAGGGAGCCCAAGAAATTGGAGATGGAATGAGAGAGAAGCAGCCAGGCCAGCGGACTCAGCAGCCGGGAAGGAGGTAGGATTTCAGATATCCCCAAGCTAGAAACAAGCTCTTCAGTCAAACAGCTGCATCCTTTGCAAGTGGGCCCCTGCTCCAGGAACACTTCTCAGACCCCTCCTAGGCCACAGTAGACCTGAGGTCTTCATTCCCAACTAAAATATTTGGGAGTAGGGGTGCCATTTAAATGCAAATGCGTCATTTTTAACACCCCCTCCCCCAGGAATTCTAAGCTCTACCACTTCAAAGCCTCAGAAGGGGAATGCAGTGCTGGTTACAGCTTAGCTCAGAGACAGCTCAACCTGCACCACTGCTGCCTTCCTTACACGCCTCTTCTCCCCCCACCCAACCATGATTTCTGATCTTACAGTTGGGCCCAAAGCCCAACGTGTGTTAACATAGAAACTTCAAACATAGATACATGGTTGATCCACAGAGTCCACTACATTAAAAAAAAAATCACAAATCCAGCTTTCTTTATTTGGAAAAAACCGTCTTCAGAGGGATCGCCGTTGTGCACTCTGTTACTGTCACAGGAACTCTGCGTGGAAACAGAGACGAGCGTACCTGTCATCACGATGTCGGGACAGTGGCAACTGCATCTTTGCACTGGCGTGTCCATGGGGCAGGCACCCTGGGAGGGTCATTTTGCTTAGTGGAACTAGACAGGAGCTTCTTTAAGGTACCTCCTTTGTTGTAGCTTTGCAAGTGCCCCCTTCCTGCGCCTCACAGCCAGCGTTCCCACCTGTCACACTTGCATGAACCCAGCCTGCAGGGCCTTGGGCAGCCACAAAGGTGGCACTGATGCCACAGTGTGGCAAAAGCAGACAGAGTCTCTACCCTGTAGGCAACACCCTGGACAGGAGTGGACGCCCAGGTCCAGAAAATGATGCACAGACAGGGTGATGCCCTTGGCGGTTTTGTGAGCAGTTGCCTTTTACTTGAGGGCGTTTTCCTTATCTTTGGATAGGAAGGCAGTTGTGTTTGTCTAAACAGCAAAGCAGTTCATTCTGACTTTTCTATCTGGGGCTGTGATTTTCCCAAAGCAGAATCTTCTTGTGACCGCTTTCCCCTCGTACCAGGGGGACAGTTTTGAATGGGACAAGACCGAGCTATGGCCCTCCCCCTTACTGTTGAAGCCTGCAGGAAGTAGCTAGCATAGCCATTCCTGGTTGTCTTCTAAGGTTATTCTCTAATTTATTATTTTTTCAACAAATCATTTTGTTTGAAATTTAGATCCTGTGGGATGCATCTGTTTGTATTTCTAGCTCTGGCCCTTGGTCTTTTCTTTTTAATGCTGTTGCTAAGATATGTTATATATTTTTAAAAGAGCAGCCCTTGAAATTTAGGAAGCATTTGGCCTACATGTTGCCACAGAGCAGCACATATTGAAATTTGTTTTCCTTTCATCTCCTTCCCAATAAAAGCAGCCGCTCGGCTTATCCCTTTAGCTTCCTCAGAACTTCCTTTCAGAATTCCCGATCTATTAGGGCACATTCACATACCAGAAACAAGATGCCTTTTCATGCTGTCAACCTTTTTCATCTGAAATGTAAATTAATTCTTGCTGGTATGCCTTGACAGAGATCAAAGTCGGGTATTAACCTTGCCAGGGCTTTCTCCTCCTAAGGACTGGGCGGCCACCGCTAGGAGCCGGGTGTCCCTGCTGCAGGCCCTCCTCCAGGCAGCCCTCGGTCTCGGAGCCGCCATTTCAAAGGCTCTGCGTCATAGCTGCCTTAAACTGGGTGACGGGTGCTCTGCCTGGCCCATTCTTGAGCGATGAGCCTGCTTGCTTGAATTGTGGGCCATCCACCCAGATTCCAGGGGCTGGGCTAAGTGGTTCTGACAGCGAGAGAGCTCTGTGTGATGGAGGGAGGGACTGGGCTGCAGGCTGGAAACCCTTCCCCTTAGCTCAGTGGGTCATTTCTTGCCTGTCAGTCTTTGAGGTAGGCCACATTTGCATTTTCAAAACAAACAGATGCCTTTCAAATACATGAGCTGGTGGGCTCTGGATCTCTGTGGGCCCAAACAGTCCGCCAGCCAGTGATCAAATGCTGGAAGAGAAAACAAACCTGAAAAATACCCTAGGCACATCGGGATACATTTCCTCTGTGGCTCTCCTTCGTGCAAGCAGTCAAGGGCCTTTCTGAGACCTGGGGCTGGAGTGTGGGGTCCTGAGTGAGGGGATTGTTTGCCAGTTTCCTTTTTGAGGGTGGGGGTGAGCACCTTGGCGAGCAGTGGCAGGTTTTGTTGTTGTTATTATTGGTTAACTCTGATCATGGGCTCCTGACAGAGGAAAGCACCTTCCTTCAAATGCCAAAGAATTGAAAATATGTCCTCTTAAAATCAGAAAAAAGGCCGGCGCCGTGGCTCAATAAGGCTAATCCTCCACCTTGCGGCGCCGGCACACCGGTTCTAGTCTCCCGGTCGGGGCGCCGGATTCTGTCCCGGTTGCCCCTCTTCCAGTCAGCTCTCTGCTATGGCCAGGGAGTGCAGTGGAGGATGGCCCAGGTGCTTGGGCCCTGCACCCCATGGGAGACCAGGAAAAGCACCTGGATCCTGGCTCCTGCCATCGGATCAGCGCGGTGCGCCGGCTGCAGCGGCGGCCATTGGAGGGTGAACCAACGGCAAAAGGAAGACCTTTCTCTCTCTGTCTCTCTCTCTCACTGTCCACTCTGCCTGTCAAAAAAAAAAAAAAAAAAAAGGTACTAAAAAAAAATCAGAAAAAAATAAGATTTGCACGTATCATCCACCAGATAGATGATGGATTCTAAGCATAAACTAATAGTGATGGTGATTTCATTATCAGTCTATTACTTTTATAAATTAGCTCTTATGGTTCAGAAAGTGGGCCTATGTAGATTTATTCAACTAAAAATTGCATACATCCCTCAATGCATACTGTCAAAACAAAACAATCTACAGGGAGGTCTTTCTTTTTTTAATGGTGTCTCACTTTATAATTTTTTGAAAGAACCAGCTTTAGAACTTCCCCCATCACTCAGGAACTATTTTTTTAAATGAAAGCAAAGTGGGGGGCCTCCCTGTGTCACAAGGCCAATGTCCTCTGCCCCACCCCTACCCCCACCACTGCACAGAGGAACAGGAAGAGCCCGTCAGTGGTTTAGAGCACATTTTCCTTGCATTGCTTCTGTGCTGTGAAATTGTCCTCCTCCTCTTGGTTCTCATCTGCCTCCCACATACTCCCCTCCCTGAGCCCTGGCAACAAGACAAGGGTGCTTCAAGAAGTTCATGGAAAAATGGAATTCAAAGATAGTACTCTAAGGCAGATGTTCTCAGAGGAGCATACAAGTGCTGACAGTGGTTTTTAGGAGCATCAGCAGTGACACTGCCAAGGCCAAGGGCACCTGCTGTGGCTGCAGACCCCTGGGCAAGTCCTGTGATGCCTGCAGGACTGATAAATGCTGCTTCTAGAAGGGAGAGCAAGCCCACTTCCCCAGAGCCTGCCCCCCCCCCCCACCTTGCTGCAGAACCAGTGTTGCAAACTGTGGAACTTTTAAACTTCTTTCTCCTAGACATTTCTGACTTGATTTTCTCTTTTGGGGCTGGTTCAATATTTTACTTTGAAAATCTTTTCCGGGGCCAGCGCCTTGGCTCACTTGGTTAATCCTCCGCCTGCGGCACCAGCATCCCATGTGGGTACTGGGTTCTAGTCCTGAAATTGGAGAAGACCCCCTAAAATTTATACAAAAATGTGGCCCCTTAAAGTTCCCCAGAAGTGCTATCTGGGGCACCAGAATTTGGGGTGCCATATGATTTCACCATATGCTTTTTAATAAATCCCCAATATTAATAAGCCTGAGAGGGTTCTTGCCTAATATTTAGAGAAGAATTCTAAATACTGGCACAGATAAACAAGGAAGCATGTTATGTTTTAAGCTTTTATTCAGTGAGAAAGATGCATAGGAGAGTGAGAGCTTTATTTAAGAGAGAGAGGTAAATCTGGGTTCATACCAAGCACCAGGAACCAGCCATGTGGAGGAGCATCTAGGCCTGGAAGCCTAGGGCGGGTGGCCTTTGGAGGCGCAGGGCTACCCTAAACCCCCTCCTGGCAAGAGGCCAGGGAAAAGAGCAAGGCCAGATACACCATGT